CTGCAAGCATACATTGACAGAGAACTTTTAGAGCTTTTAGATGTTCAAGATGGATTCAGAAGATGACGTGGAATGAGGGATATCATTGCTGAAATTTGATGGAACTTCACTGAAAGCAGAGAATACCAGAAATATTTTTACCTGTTCTTTATTGACTATGCAAACACTTTCGATTTTGTGAATCATGACAAGCTATGGACAACATTATGAAGTATGAGTATTCCTGAACACTTTATTGTGCTCATGAGGAATCTGTACATGGACCAAGAGTAAGTTGTTCAAACAGAACATGGGATCACTGAATGGTTTAAACTTAAGAAAGGTGTGTGACAGGGTTGTATTCTTTCACCATACTTATTCAATCTGTATGCTGAGCAAGTAGTCCAAGAAGCTGGATTATATGAAGAACAACGTGGCATCAGGATTGGAGGAAGACTCTTTAACAACCTGCAGTATGCAGATGATACAACCTTGCTTGCTTAAAGTCAAGAGGACTTAAAATATTTACTGATGAAGATCAAAGAGCACAGCCTTCAGTGTGGATTGCGTCTCAATGTAAAGAAAACAAAAATCCTCACCACTGGACCAATAAACAACATTCTTATCAACAGAGAAAATATTGAAGTTGTCAAGGACTTCATCTTGGATCAACTATCAACAATCATGGAAGCAGCAGTCAAGAAATCAAACGACGTATTGTATTAAGCAAATCTGCACACGACCTTTTTAATGTGTTGAAGAGCAAAGATGTCAGCTTGAGGACTAAGGTGCACCTAACCTAAGCCGTGGTATTTTCAATAACCTCATATGCATGCAAAAACTGGACAGAGTGCTCCTTGGAGACCAGGATGGCCAAGCTTCATCTTTCATACTTCAGATATATTGTCATGAGGGACCAGTCACTGGAGAAGGATATCATGTTTGGTAAGGTAGAGGGTCAAAGAAAAAGAGAAAGACCCCAAATAGCGAGATGGATTGGCAAAGTGGCAGCATCAATGGGCTTGGCATGGCAACAATTGTGAGATTGGCTCAGAGCTGGGCAGTGTTTCATTCTGTTGTGCATAAGGTCACTGTGAGTTGGTACTGACTCGATGGAACCTAACAACAACCATATCCAAGGGACCATGTTAAACACTGAGAGATTTACAATGCTGTGTAAGACACCATTCCAAATTCATGTTGTTGGTTTTATTCTGAACCATAAGAACAAAGTTGGAAAGCCAATATGTGACTGCCTCAAACCCTTTTTTTTTTTTTTTTTTTTTTTTTTTTTAATTTATGGAAGGTTTGATAACAAGATCATCAGTTAAGCACTTTGTAAAATATGAAGTATGATGCTAGTGCTCAATAGCATAAAATGCTTTACTATTAGCCTTTTTTTTTTTTTTTTTTTTTTTTAGCACAAGCAGAAGCCAATAATTCTATCCCTTGTACCTATATAGCTTCCCAACACTGACTGATAGTTAAGTGCCATCAATTCAGTTTCAACTCACAGCATATAGGGTTTCTAAGGCATGACTGGTAGGTTTGAACTATTGACCTTGCTGTTAGCAGTCCAGTACTTATCCTACAGTGACATATCAGGATCTCAAGTGCTAGGTAATTGTTATTAAGTGCCACAAGTCAGTTCCAACTCATAGTAACCCTGTATAGGTTTCCCGAAGAGTGGTTAGTGAGTTTGAACCACTGACTTTGTGGTTCAAACTGACCTTGGGGTCCAATGCTTTATCCCATAATGCCATACCAGGTCATAGGTACTTTCCCCTGTAAAAAAAAGTTTTGTGTATTCCCATTAAATTAAGTTGAAGAAAATGAGAATTTAATCTTGTCTTTTATAGTAGGGATTCCCATGAATGAGAAAATGGCTGCATTTGTAAGGTAACTGATTTATGAATTGCTGTTCCTCACTATCATGAAATAGCATGTTAGTTCTATTTTTGTTTTGTTTTGTTTTGTACATGCACTTTTTAAAGAAGGCCATAATTTGCTCTGCAAACTTGATTTCTTTCCTCTTGATAAAATTGTTCAAGGTCATCATGGTCCCATATCCATCAATCACGTGTGTCTCAAAGATTCCCGATGTCAGTAATACATATCAGTATGATGAATGGTGCAGGGTTCATATTCAGGAATCTGATTGGATAACTGTCGCTTCATTTGTTGGAACTTATAATTCAAAAAACAATGATGAAGTTGTGCAAGATAAGAGAGCAATGCAAGCCTGTTTCACTTAATATGAATAATAGGAGCTTGGCACTCTGTTAGTATAAATAGGCTCTGTACTATAGTGCCCTCCTTGGGGATCATCTAGGGGACTGGGGAGAGGAATTAACTCTTGAAGTGAGTGGTAGCCCTGTGCTGGGAAAGAGTGAATACTGTACTGTGCTTTTATACTGAAGCTTCCTAACAGGAGAATGAGGACTTCTGATCTATTTAGTAAACTTGTATGTTTCATTCTATTTCTAGCAGATAGCAATACTTATTTTTGTACTTGTAAATTATTATTTATTAGTTACTAAACAAATTATTAAAATATTTAGTTATTTAAAGAGATGTCCTTTCTTTTAAAAGAGGTCTAGTTTACACTTTAAAAGTGTTCGGCGGCTAAAGGAAAGGTCAGTGTTTCACTATGGGGCAGTTTTATTCTTTCCTATAGGGTAGCCACAGGAGTCCTGGTGTGGCGCTGTAGGATAAGCACTGGACTGCTAAGCAAATTATTAATAAGACTGTCGGTTCAAACCTACCAGACGCTCTTTGGAAATACTAGCTAGGGTCTCTATGAGTTGGCACTGACTTGCCAACATTTAACACAGATAGCTATGAGTGTGAATTGACTGAATGGTAACTTTGGATTTGTGGAGGTGGAGCTCTCTGGGTACTTTCTTACAAAAGGAGCTCTGGTGATGCAACAGTTAAATGTTCAGCTGCTAATAGAAAGATTGGCAGTTCAAACACTCCCTGAGGTTCCCAAGAGAAAAGACTAATGACCTACTCCCATAAATATCGCTGTTGTTGTTAAGTGCCATCGAGTCAATTCCAACTCAGAGTGACCCTGTATAGTGTTTCTGAGGAACAGCTGGTAGGGTTGAACTGCTTATCTTGTGGTTAGCAGTCCAGTACTTATCCTACAGCACCATACAAAGACTCCATCCTATAAAGATTACAGTCTAGAAAATAGAAAACCCTATATGGAGTTCTGATGTGACACTGCAGGTTCATGCTCTTGACTACAAGGGCAGTTTGAACCGCAAGGTCGGCAGTTCAAGCTCACCACCCACTTCTCAGAAACCCTGTATAGGGTCGCTATGAGTCAGAACTGATTCGATGGCACTTAAAAACATAGGGTATTTCTACACTGTTATATGGAGTCACTATGAATTGAAATCATCTCAACAGCACCTGAGAACGACATTTTCTTATAACAATGATGTTGCTGTTTTGGGCTGCCGTCGGGTCAGCATCTAACTCATGGCAACTACATACACAAAGGATCTGACCCTTGTGATTCATACAGTTTTCATTGGCTGACTTTTTTGGAAACAGATTGTTAGGCTTTTCTTCCTAGTATGTTTTACTCAAGAAACTCCACTGAAATTGATGTAGCATCCTAGCAAAATGCAAGGCTCCCTGACAGATGGGTGGTGGCTGCACATGAGGTTCACTGGCAAGAACTCCTATATGGGAGGCAAGAATTCTAACACAGAACCACCACTGTGCCTATATAAAATATAAGTATTTATCATTAAAGAAATAAAGAACATGTTTTCAATGATCACCTGAAATCCTCCTGTCCAAAGATAATTCTTCATGATGAAGTAGAAATAGACAGACAGGGTAACATAATGGACCATGCTGTGCTTAAATGCCCTTGAGCTAGTTCTGACTCACAGTGACCCTGTAGAGGGTTTCCATGGAATGGCTAGTGGGTTTGAGACATCAACCAATACTTATCCTACAATGTGACAACAGGACTCCCAATGAACTACTGTTGTTGTCTTCAAGTTGTTTCTGACTCATAGTGACCCTGTGTAGGGTTCCTGAGGAGTCATTGGTAGGTTTGAACCACTGAACTTGTGGTCCCCATTCCTGTGCTTATCCTTCATTGCCATACTAGGACTCCAGGACTATAGAATATAACAATAGATTTAAGTTATTTTCTAAATTTAGTCAGTGCTAAAGCATTTTTAAAAATCAGTATATTTTGTTTTTGTAAATTGTGTTGATACAATTGCCTATTAATTTGGAGAAAAACTTATTCTCAAGTTCATTCTCACGTAAATGTCAAACATATCAAAGATTTATTTCTTCTTAAGTAGAATAGAATCATAAAATTACTATGATAAGACTTATTAGCATTTCAAAATATTGGTGTGAAAAGATCATTGTAAATAGATCAATAATCCAGAAATTAAAAAGGAAAAGGTACTATTTGACTGGCTAGGATAGGATAGAAAATGATGTTATAGCAAACAAACAAACAAAAACACACTGTAAAATAACAGAAAAATGTAAAAGAGAAAACAAGATGATAAAAAATGGCAATGAATGACAAGGGTTAATTCTGTAATTTGCTGAAAGTACTTACTTTTATTGAGCAGTGAAAATTAATATGGAAACCAAACAAAAGGATATACACAGACAAATGCTTCTTCACAAAGGGGTGAACATTAATAAACATAAACTTTCTTAGTATTCAAAGTATCAAAAGGCATCATTAGTATTCAAGGAAATTCCAATGCATTAGCAAATGAAAGGATTTTATTGTCAATAAACTGGTGACAGTTGTCTCAAATCTGCAACTTACATGGTGATTTAACCTGCATGTGATGCCTTTCCCTGGAGAGGTAATGATGTATGACTAGTAGTATCACATACAATTCCACATGGAAGTCCAAGAAAATTCTAGGTTTTCACATCTATATGACAACATTATGGCATACACTTGCAAATATAATAAGAAAATAAGTGGTTGGTTAACATTGTTATAACTGTTACAAATCTATAACTTTTGAATATACTCTTCTGATTAATATTTATGCCTCAATCACTATGACGCTCAGATTATTGTTAAAGAAAATCTTTCCCTGATTCTTCACACTGAATTCAGGCTCTTGTAGATCTTTCATAATTTCTGCTTTCAGAGCAGAAGGTGCTGTTTTGTTAAAGTTGCAGGTTTCTGTCAAAAAATCCAAAAGCAACTCTCCATTTTCATTACCATCAATAAAGCAGTCTGATATGTCCATGGTGGACAGAAGATCATAACACTTATACTTAATCTTCAAGTTGTCCAGCATCTGAGTGAGGTCCAGTGATGTTACATACTGGCAGAGGTCATCCCTAGGTAAGCGGGATTCATATTTTTTCCATAGCTTGTCCCAGCCACTGGTTCCTGTGTAATAGAACAAAGTTAATACTTCAATTTATTCTTTCCTTCAATTACCAAGCAAACAGAACACTGGATGCTTGGAATAGGAACAAAATCATATCCTTGTGGAGCTCAATTCAAGGATTTGGGAGAGAAAGAAAATTGAATAAACAAATAAACATATCATATATCAAATGGTGATAAGTGATAATGGAAAACAAGTCAGAGTAAGAGGAATAGAAATGCCAAGTGATTGGATGGGCTGCTGTTTTACATAGATAGGATGGCCATAGAAAGTCTCTCTAATAATTTGAGTAGAGAGCCGAAAGCAAACTATGAAGATAACAAAGAAAAAAGCATTTCAGGTAGAGAGAAGAGTAACCGCAAAGGATCTAATGCAGCAACATGTTGAAGACTTATCCAGGAAGTCAGTGAGATTGGAGTTAAGTGAGCAAGAGAGAGAGTTGAAAGAGATGAGGTTGTTTCGGAAGCAGAGAAATGAATGGGGTACCAGATCCTGAGGGAGAAGATAGGAAGCCATTGTAATTCTGTCCAATAAAAACTTTCTGGACTGAAGAAAATATTAATTATCTGTGTTATCTGTGTCCAGTACAGTAGCTACTAGTAACTTAGCTATGGAGCAAGTGAGAATTGGCTAGAATGACTGAGGAACTAAATTATTTCAATTTAATAATTTAAATGGCCACATGTGGCTTTTTATTGGACAGCACAGCATTAGAGTGATATAACTTGATATATTTTGATAGGGTTACTCTGACCACACAAATGGGAATAGACTGTAAGAGACAAGGACAGGAGCAGGAAGAATACTGAGAAGGCTACTTCAATAACCTGGGGGATACAGGATAGTAACCTGGACCAGTGAGCTTTGTGTTGAGAAATGGTGGTACTTTTTATATATTGTGTTCCTGTATCCAATGGAATCTGAGGGCAACTTGGATGTAGGGTATGAGAGAAAATAGTTAGTGGTGACCACATGTTTTTTTGCTTGAGCACCTCGAGAGACAGAATTGTCATTAACCAAGATAGTAAGGAGGAAGGTTGGACTGTTTTGAAGAGATCATCAGGCATCTGGTCTTAGAAATATATATTTGTGATACCTAGTGGACATTCCCATCATGGTAAATGACAATTCTCTATTTCCTGTGGAGGGGGTAAATCTCTCATGCTTATACAAGATGTTGCCATGGACTGCCATTAGCTAGGTTGATTCCTAGAAAGTTTTGTCCCAACTTTACATGACTCTGAAGATGCTTTATCAATATCTGTTGTGTTTAATTAAAACTCGGCATAGTGACTAAAAAGCCAGTATCTGAGGAAGACAGAAATGCGTTGTACTCTTCTAATGCTTCATGAAAGTCTAACCATTTATACTCCCAGAATCTCAGTTTCCTCAGCTGTAAAATGGAACTAAGGAGCCCTGGAGGAACAATGGTTAAGCGTTTGGCTGCTAACTGAAGGGTTGGAGGTTTGAACCCTCCCACTGGCTTAAAGATCACTGCCTAAAACACTCTACAGGGCAGATCTACCTGATGTTGCTATAAGACAAAATCACTCAATGGCACTTAACAATAGTAACAACAAAAATGACAATAACCATACATACCTCAAATGCAACTGTAAGCATTAAATAACTCAAGTGCATCATTGCACAATGCTAAGCACTTGCCAGATGCATAACAAGTGTTTGCAAAATAAGTGAACATTATATGAAATGTGTTTGCTAATATAGTTCTATTGGTTGTAATTTTGAGATGGTATAAAACCAACCTGTTGTTGTTCTGTTAATAACAGAACAAGTGAGTAGTTACTTATGGACCACCTAAAGTGTTCATGTAGCTCTAGGATGAACTATTACACAGAGTCAGTACAGTGTAATAATTAAGAGTATGGTATCAGAGTATAGTATAAAAACCAGATTGCCCCAGGGCAAAATATGACTTTCCTCATTACTAGCTTTATGACTTTGTGCCCCAGTTTATCATGTGTTAGCAGGATTAAGAATATCATCTACTCATAAATTTGCTGCAAAGATTAACTAAATTAATAGAGGTAGAGGTAAAGAACAATGATAGGCATATAGTAAATGGAATAAAATTAAGTTGGACTTGAATAAAGCAATATATCAGAGCCTATATTTCCTATATGAAAAGTGAAGATTTCAAGGCTTGAGGTGTTTTGGGGGGCTTTCCAAGATTCTTTTATAATCTACTGTTAGTGTTTGATGCCCCCAGAAAAATACACATATACGACATAGCTACAAAGCTCTATGTATAATTACAGGAAGCTCAAAGAGCCCTGGTCTTCATCTGTGGATTAGGATAAATTCCCCTGATTTAACTTAACCAAGAGTCTATGTAGGGAAGTAACAGGCAAATAATAAACAGCCTGGATAATTAATGTTCTACGATTTCAGAAAGGCAATGCTAAGTGCAGAATGTACTCTAGAAGAAGGTGTAATTGGATTAAAACACACACAAAAAACAAACCTCAGTTCGACAAAAAAAAAATGAAGATCATGAGCAAGTATGAAAAAAAATCTTTTATTCCAAAGACAGCGGATTGTCTTCCCAGATAAGAGTTTGACTATTATAAACAAAAGTCTACAGGAAAATCAATATTTTTTTTTTTTAGTTGAGGCAAGGCTCTACTGTATTTAACCTGACAGAGAATAAAAAATCAAGCATTAATTGCAGAAATTGTGCTGGTGTCTGTGCCATTTTTGAGCTGGAAATGTACATACTTTCAGATTGATACATTATCATAATGGCCCACTGTGGGCACAACACATGGCGTGACTTTTGTTCCCAACATGATATAAACCAGATTCTTATTTTCCCGTTGTACTAAAAATAACACACCAGAATCTGCTTCCTTCCTTAGTCAGGTATGGAGAGAGGAGAACAGAAAACTTCCATCTGACTAATGTCCCTTCAACTGATCAATTGAAATTTAATAAGCAACTCTTCCAACTAATGTCTGGCTACTGCATTTGCAGGAAAATATGCTGCCAACATCATTTTAGTGTGGGATACTCCTCATTCAAACCAAGATAAAACAATCTCTTTCGTTCTTAATTATCTTTTTTTTTCTGAAGTCAACTCTCTCATATTCATAATCAGAACCTCCTCTGTTATTTGTCATTAAATGAGTATTTACTAAGCTGGACTAGTTCTATAATAGATACTTAGGCACACACAGTAAAAACTCTTTTCTCTCAAGGAACATGACTTCTAACAAGCTGACCAGTAAAGGCTATCATTTAATTCTGATTTCCATTTCCCTGTCTTTTCCTAATTAGTTTTACTTGCTTATTATGCAATGTTTTTGTCTGGCTGTTTCTGTATACAGCATGTGCATGTATGAGATGGGACAAGGCAGAGAGAGACAGAATATGTGTGCTTTTATTATTGAGTTATTTATTTCTCTTTATTAAACCCACTTGGACATCTCCCGAGCTTTCTGTATTATCTGTTTCATGTTCATCATGTAATCACGGTCTCTTTATTTGGGAGGTGGATTTCAAGAACTAGTTGTAGTTCTGATTTTATGAATAATTATCCATTTCAATGGACATATATCCATTTCAACTGAATGCCTCTGTATGCTAGCTTTACAAATATTTTGGGCTAGAAATGAAAGGTGAACTCCCCCCTGTCAAGGAGCTCTCTAAAACTTCCTGAATAACTCTGGTAGGAAATTTAGCAAAAATTGCTGAGAGCATCTGTTTACAAATTGAATCCTCCATGAGATTAGTCATCTTTCCAAGGCAGGGGAACAGTTCATAGACACTTTTGCCTGGCAACATCTGAACACCGAAGTTCCTCAATGAGAGGTGAATGAACCAGACTAGGGCTCTCCTGGGCAGTTAACATGGGACTACAGGCTGTGTTTTGCATATAGCTGAACATAAAGTGCCATGGCCAAAACTGGTGTTCTGCATAATTAAATCTAGAAACTGGTTCCATATGTCACTGTTTTATAATCTAATAATAAAAAAAAAAAGAGTGCACATCTGATACTCAAATAACTTGAGTGATTCATTCCATTCAGAGAAAACCCTTGTCACTTTAGTACTATATCAGTATCTAAGTTGGGCAGGCAAGTGCTACATGGCATATTTAAGACGGTCTTTTAGGGAAAACTGCTGATCCAGACATATATATCGGATTCTACCTACCATTTTGCTATACCACTGCTCTTAGAAGTTTAATTTTATGCAAAAACCAGTTGCCTTCAAGCCAAATCTGATTCCTGGCAACATCCTATAGTCAATGTAAAACTATGCTTTATAAGGTTTGCAATGTCTAATCTTTAGAAATGAAATCTATAGATCTTTCTCCAAGGACTTCCTGGATGGACACAAACCTCCAATCTTTTGGTTGTTGGTGTTGTTGTTAAGTGGTGTCCAGTCAGTACCAATTCATAGTGACCCTGTACATAGTGGCCTTATATAGGGTTTCCGAGGAGCGGTAGGTGAGCTTGAATCACTGACGTTGCAGTCCAGTGCATTAACCCACCAAGACGCCAGTCTTTCGGCTATCTCAATTATTTAACTATTTGCGCCCCCCAGAAACAATTTTGAGAATTGTTCTAGGCTACTCTGAACGTAGCTGCAATGAGACTCAGCTTTCTGCATTGCAGTACAGCTAGAGAAAACAATATTATCCTGAACGAAGGAAATGGACTAAAAAATGTCTTTCCTGTTAGGTAACTGTAAAGCCAACTTCTATTTAGAAAGTGATCTCAAGAAACTTAATAAAAACAAAACCTAGTGTGAGCCATTTTGGCTGTTGCAAGTTTTAGGGCAACATTCAATTAAGCAATGTTTCAGTTTAACATTTGGGCTGAAGAGGCAAGTGAGGACAATATTTCTTAACTGGAAGTGAATGAACAGTTCACCCAGTGAGCTCTTTCAAGCTCATTTTATATCCACAGACCAGTCATATAAGTAGAGATTTGAAGTTATAAAACCACATGACAAAACCCAATAAAAATACAAATCATTCTCTTATATACTGACTGACCTAAATATGTTCTAAAAATGCATATCATAAAAGATTTCTTGCAATTACATTTGTTTCCAGGGTTGAAAATTAAGTATGACCTATTTTTCTGAAAATACACCAATATAATTGTATTGACTTCATTAATAAAAAAAAGTAACCAATACAATAATAAAAAAAAGAAAACTATAGCTTACTATAGTTACTTGCATAGAGAGAAGGGACACCAGGATTCATCTCAGGAAATGTTTCATTGTTTGAGAAAACAGGTTCTTGGATACACAGGTTTATTTAAGTAAGAGGTAGAGCAAAAGGAAATTAAGCTGTCCTGGTGGCACTGTAGGATAAGCTCTGGACTGCTAATCACAAAGTCCAATGTTCAAACCCTATAATTGCTCCTCAGGAGAAAGAGGAGACTTTCTGGTCCCATGAAGATTTACAGCCTCAGAAACTCTATATAGGACTGTATAAGTCAGAACCAACTCGACTGTACTTAATAATAACAACATGTAAAAAGCAGAATCCTTGGGTGGTACAAATGGTTAACACACTCAGATACTAATTGGAAGGCTGAAGGTTTGAGTTCACCCGGAGGTGCCTTGGAAGAAAAGTCTGGCAATCCATTTTCAAAAAATTAGCCGTTGAAAATCCTATATGGTACATTCAATCCTGTCTGGCACACATGGTATAACATGAGTTGGAGTCAACTTGATAGTAACTAGTTGTATTAACCAGCTATCACAAAACACAGGAGTAGGCAGCTTTAAAAAATCTAAGAGTTTAAGGGAGTCCTGATGTGGCACTGTGGGATAAAGCACTGGACTGCAAGATTGGTTTAAACTGCAGGTCAGTCGTTCAACCTCTACAGTTGCTCCCTGGAAGCCCTACACAGGGTTGCTATGAGTTGAAACCAACTCAAAAGCACTTAACAACCATAGCAACAAGAGGGGAAGAGAGAGGTCTGTTAAGAAGTTGTGATTATAAGCCTAAGACAGTGGACCCAGATCAAACAAGAGAAATGTTAGAAAGAGAGCTCCTGTCAGATAATGCCACTATGTTCTGTTCTCTGCTGTTCTTCCTCTTCATTTTTTGTAGTTAAGTGCTGTTGAGTTGGGCCTCATTATCTTCCAGAAGCAACAATTGGTATTTTAGGGAATGAAAGAAATGGAGCTATATTCATACATTGGATGCAGTGAAGAGAAAGAGTAGCTACAGTACATGGAAGGTTTACAAAAAAACAAATCAAAATTTGAACTGGGGAAAAAAAAATTGAACTAGGAGAAGGCATCTGTAGCAAACCAATACAAGTATTTAAACATGACCCGTAAGTATCCTCGGGAGTGATCTAAAGGAAGTGAACTATCCAAGTTATTTGGGATGAGGACTCCAAGTCATTTACTTTAGACTTTTGAAAGTTAAACATGAGGTCATAAGAGTGAGGAACCTGGTGACATTTAGGTCACACTACTTTGATGACAGTGATTAACAATTTTCTATGTTATTGATGCAAAGAATCAAGACTAGATTGTCTACTGAGTTTATTATTGCATTCCTAAATGCAGTACGAAGTGCTTTACCCTAAAATCTTTCTTTGAAAAAGATCCAGTTCACATAAGCCCTTCTGAATGAGAACCTAGACCTCTCTAATATGAATGAGATTTTTAACTAACTAGAGATAAAAATAGTATAACAAAATGTTCCCTTGGAGACCAGGTTATGGATCACATGAGTGCAAACCAGTACCACAAGCAAAATTTGTCTATTTATAAATAAACAAATTTTGTGACATTTGTGGTTTGATTATGTAGTCTGATACAAGCTTAAGAAGAGAGATCTAGTTGGATATGTAGAAGTAATCAGCCTAGCACTGGGTGTACTATCAGTAGAAATTATGTAATGAATGAAAAGAACTCAACAGTTCCTATTTTCATTTTCTAACCATATGTATCATACGCTCTATGTGATGTTTCCTATGTCACTGGAAGCACTATGGCATGGTTAAATCTCTTCTTTGGAAAATAAAACAAAACATTTAAAATGAAAATATTCCATTTGTTACATGTATTCTAAGTTCTATAAAAAGGATACATGCCTAGAAGACAAAGATATTTTTCAAAGGGAAAGAAGTAAATAGACTTGTGATTTTACTAGGCCACTAACTAAATTGACAGTTGTTGTGAATGGCATTGCTAGCATTGTGAAAATAATGAAGATGTAATTCTTGAATTTATGAATTTGAAGCAGCAGTCTTCAAACACATAAATCCATGTGCCCATGCATTATTGCTTTTTCAAAAAGTCAGAGTTGAATGAAAATAACTTACCTGATACCACAATAATTAGGATCATGGCATTAGTAGCTAAGAGACTATGGAAGAATTTCAGGGTAGCCGGGATGTCTTTTACATAATACAGCATCTAGAATGAGATAAAAGAGAAATGAGAAACTTCTTTATGTTGATAACTTTGCTATTGGACTAAAAACTCACTAGAAAGTTTGATTTTGAGAGGATTTTTACCCAACTAATGATAAGCACTAGACTGCTAAACACAAGGATGGCAGTTCAAATCTACCAGATGGTCCTAAGAAACCCTAATACAAAGTTTCTATGAGTCAGGAACTGACTCAACAGCACTTAACATCATCAACAACAAGTACTTTAGAAATTTAAAAATTAATGATCTTATAGAGATGAATAATGATGTGGGAAAATGAAAATCATGGTATTTGTTCAGCTAGTGCCAAATAGCTTTAAATTTATTCTCTTATTTTTATTTTCATTTATTTATTTTTAATTTACTTTTCTGGCTTCAATAACACAGACCTTTATAGCTTAGTCTCCACTCCACCCAGGGGCACTGATTCTATGCCTACTCTGTGTTTTGTGAATTGTAGTTCTTCTGGGAGAAAATGGTGGTGGAACCATAAAAACAGACTCCATTTCATGGAACGTTGCTTTAAAATTAAACCCTTTGCACTAGCTTCACCATATGTTCATAAATGTTTTGTTTTGTTTTTAATCATAGGAAATGTGGCTGACTCTGTTGTTGGTAGGTTCTCTAAGAAACGGAAGTGGATGAAGTAAAATGCTACACATTTGATTACTGAGTACTAGGGGTCAGCCCACCCATTTTAAATAACTCTGTCAACAGAGAGAGCTTGGAATTATGCACAGAAGGTGAGAAATTTCTTAGGAGCTTACATCTTTGGAATCCATCCCCCAGACACTTCTTATATATCATCTTCATGTCTCGTGGACAAGAATTTAGTATTATGGGCTGCATGTCAATACCACAGAACTCATTATAGAAAAGAAAAAACAACTTAAGTTATGTCCCAGTCACATGAATGAATAAAATGACCTGCCTTTGGCCAATTCTGCTGCAATACCATATTTATTACCATCTTTCTCCAGGCTGCCCACTCTGGCAACTACAAACGTTACCCAAGAGCAATTCATCAATAAGATGGGCAATAATCTAAGACATATCCTGCCTAAAAAAGAGGAAATGATTCATAGTTGTTGTTGTTGTTATGTGCCATCGAGTTGGTACTGACTCATAGCAACCCTGTGCACAACAGAATGAAACACTGCCTGGTCCTGGGCCAATCTCACAACTGTTGCCATGCTTGAGGCCATTGATGCTGTCACTTTGCCAATCACCTCGCTGGGGGTCTTCTTGTTTTTCTCTGACCCTCCACTTTACCAAACATGATATCCTCTCCAGTGACTGGTCCCTCCTGACAATATGTCCAAAGTATGAAAAATGAAGTATGGTCATCTTGGCCTCCAAGGAGCACTTTGACTGCACGTCTTCCAACACAGATCTGTGTGTTCTTTTGGCAGCCCATGGCACTTGCTCTGTGGGCTCTATCTCATTCTCTGGCTCTTGGTTCTGCTGCTGCTGCTCCTCTGCCACTCCTCTGGTGTCACAACTTTGTGTTTCCGGGTCAAGGAAGTTCAAAGTATAGTAGGGATCTCGGGTCCAGAGGATGGACTCCACTCCTGGTTCTTTGATGATAGTGAAGTTCTACCCTACCTCTTGCTTCTGAGATGGTTCATTTTATACCTATGCTAAAGTTTCAAGTTTTTACAATTACAGTGAACTCTGTTAACCTATACAGCTGACTCATGTCATCCTGTTAGTATATTTTCTCATCTTCTCTTACCCAAACCCAGCAGAGTAGAAATGTTGGTTAGTGGGAGTTAACAGTGTAGGGCTATAAAAGACATTAGGTAATTCATTACACCAATATTGGTGTTTTCAGAGAAATAGGAGAAAGAAGCAGATCTCTGAAGCTTCAACATTTTATAATGGGGAAGATAATCGGATCCAGAGGCTAAGTGGAGAGACTGACTTTTGTCAAGAGGAGGATTTTCTAATAGGAGCAAAGAAGAAGATGATAGGTAAAGGTGTAGCTATGTTTGTAAATCTGGAGGGTGCAAGATGACTTTCTGTCTAATATTTTCTATTTTTATTATACAATGTAAAATGAAATTATCAGTTAGGACTGAGTTGTCAGGGAGTGGTTGAAAGAAATATAAGGCAAGAAGAGAGATATGAAATCATTATCTGAGCAAGCTTAATAGAAAAGCATCATAGGATTTCTGGGCAATATAAGGTTCACCCTTTATAGATAAATGATTTTGTCAGCTGAGGCAGTAGTATTGCATTGATGTATCAATCTTGGAGTCATTTCTTCCTTTGATTACTCCTAAGTTTATCCCTTTGGGGTGTCTGTGCACTACAGGAAGGAAGGAGTGTCCTATTGTTAGCCAAGTGGTATTTCTAAATATGTACATCTTTGGATGCTAGGCAATGTTTAAAGCCTATATACCAGCATGTGGTCCAAGAGGCATATTCAGACACTTCATAACAACAAGGACCCTAGAAAATAAGTGAATGGAGTATAGATGACAACTTTGGAACCCTGAGCATCAAAGGCAAGACTGAAAAATCAGACCAAATACCAAGTGGAAGGAGACTGTACAAAAACTGTATACATGAAGAACTACCAATTGCTGGCACCCTGTAGACATGGCCATATTGAAATAAATTATTAAGTATTCCCAGCAGAAGCTCCCATTACGTGGTGCAGAGAAGCAGGAGCAATGGTGCACTCACATCCAGAACCAGGCAGATGTGCTCCCCACCCAGCAAAAGTTAAGTGCACTCACCTCACTTATACCCTCCAGGTCCCCCCAAGCCAAAGGGCCATGTACTTGTGATGCCCCTCTACCCCCTCACCCATCCTCCCCACCATGCAATCATGATCTGGCAGCAACTACCACCACCCTGCCTGGCAGCACCAGTTTCTTCACCCAGCCACCACTGACAAGCACCTGCTTGTCAACGTCATCACCTAGCCAACTGTGCTGGGGCCTGTGGAATAGCAGTATCTCCTCTTCCACCCACCCAACTGTGCCTGGGTTCCACAATCCAATGCCACCTGCCTTTCTGCCCAGCCACTCACTCCATATGCCAGTGGATGAGCAGTATCTCTTCATCCATTCACTATCCATGCTGGAAACCCAGGGTCAGAAGGTGTCCCCACTTCAGTGCACCCATCCATACTAGCGGCTGATGGACTGGCATACCCAGTTCCTAAGCCCAGTCACCTGAGCTGGAGCCCATGCACCAGGGACATCTGCTTCTCCTCCTGGTCACTGGGAACATGGACTCAGGGTCCAGCAGCAGCCCCACTTCCACCCAGCCATCTGCATCTGGGAGTGAGGAGCCCCTTACCCTATACCCACTTTCCCACACTGGGGTACCACACACCAATTGCCACCCACTGCCCACCTAGCCACTTTCACCAGGAGCCTGCAACCAGAAATGTCTCTCCTATGCTCAGTCACCTGCAGCAGGGACCCTCAGAAACAGCACCTCCTTCTCCCTCCATCCACCTGCACCAGGTGGAACACTCTCCCCAACATCATACCTCACTGGACAGCAAGTGCATGCTGTCCTAACAGGCACCCATGAACTAGTGACATCTTCCCTGCCTCACCCTCTACTTTGCCCCATCCCTGCAATAGGAAGTGTGTAACCAATCTGACCAGCCAAGCAGACCTGCCCACTTGGGACTGTCAATGTGACTTTTTCTAGCACCCACCCAGTGACCAACAACCTGGACACTTTTGTACTGAACATCCAGCAACTGGCAGTGTGCTTATACAACATGCAACTCAGAATCCAGTGAGATGGCTCCCAGAAGCCACCCCCAGGTGACTGACCAGATGGACACATCTTACCAGCAACACCAGCTACATCCTCAGCCAGCCCACAAAACCAGGCAACAGAGACCCAACCTCATACACACAGTCACTGGTCCAGCTACTCGGAGATGGGTGGTGACAGCACCAGTGCAACCAGGCTAGCAACAAGACTAGAAGACATGCCCCACCTACTCCGATATAGAAAAACAAAATAGCAAATCAGGACACAGCAAACAAACATGCAAGGAATATATAAATATGTGATCTTACTAGGCGCTGTTCAGTAAGGTCTGACTCATAGTCATGCTATGCACAACAGAATGAATCACTGCCTGGTTTTGTGCCATCCTCACGATTGTTGTTACATTTGAGCTCATTGCTGCTGCCACTGTGTCAATCTATCTTGTTTGGGGGTCTTCCCTGTTTTCACTGACCCTCTACTTTACCAAGCATGATGTCCTTCTAAAAGGACTGGTCCCTTCAGATAACATATCCTAAGTATGACAGATGACGTTTCACCATCCTGACTTCTAAGGAACATTCTGGCTGTATTTTATCCAATACATATATGTTTGTTCTTCTGGCAGGCCATGGTACTTTCAGTATTCTTTGCCAACACCATAATTCAAATCATCAGACAATATAATTAATATCACATGCAAGTAAAATGTTGCTAAAGAAAAATAAAAAATGGCTGAAACAGTACATTAACAGGGAACTGCTAGAGGCTCAAGCCACAATCAAATGAGGGCATGGAATGAAGGATATCATTGCTAATGTCAGATGGATCTTGGCTAAAATCAGAGAATACCAGAAAGATGATTACCTGTGCTTTATTAACTATGCAAATGATTTCTACTGTGTAGATCTTGACAAGCTATGGGCCACATGCAGATAATTAGTATTCAGGACCATTTAATTGTGTTCATAATGAACCTTTACATAGACCAATAGGCAGAACAAGGGGACATCGAATGTTTTAAAATCAAGAAAAGTGTGTGGCAGGATTATGTGCTTTCTCCATACTCAATCTGTATGCTGAAGAATTTATCCAAATATAGGTTAGGTAGAGAATATTTCTACATATGTGTTTGTACATGCTACAAATATGTACATGCATTTTGTTGTTGTTGTTAACTGCCTTCAAGTCAGTTCCAACTCATAGCGAAACTATACAACAGAAAGAAACACTGCCCGGTCCTGAACCTCCTCACAATGACTGCTACACTTGAGCTCATTGCTGATGTCACTGTTCCAATCCATCTCATTGGGGGTCTCCCTCTTTTTCTCTCACCCTCCACTTCACCAAGCATGATGCCCTTCTTAAGGTACTTGTGCCTATGGATAACATTTCCAAAGTATAAGAGACAAAATCTGGCCAGATAGGCTTCTAAGGAGCATTCTGATTGTACATCCAATACATATTTGTTTGTTTTCACAGCAGTATATGGTACCTTTAATATTCTTTTCCAATATCATAACTCAAATGCATCAATTCTTCTATGGTCTTCCTTATTCACTATACAACTTTCACATGTATATGAAGATATTGAAAAAACCATGGCTTGGATCAGGGACACTTTAATCCTTAAACTGATATCTGTGCTTTTGAACACTTTAAAGAGGTCTTGTGAAGCAAGATATGTTCAAGGTCATATTTTAACCATTGTGGACTTGTTTTAATTTTCTTCGACTTCAGCCTGAACTTGCATATGAGCAGCTAATGGTTAGTTTGCTTCTGTCCTTGTTTTGGCTGATGTAGTAAACTTGATTTCACAGATGTAGTCAATTTGATTTCTTTGTATTCCATCAGGTAAAGTCTATGTGTATAACTGTCTTTATGTTGTTTTTAAAAGGTAATTGCAATGAAGAAGTAAGTCATTGGTCTTGTAAAATTCTATAATGTGATCTCCAGCATCTTTTCTATTACCAAGGCCATATTTTTCAACTACTGTGATTATCAGATTCCATATATCTTATACCAGTCCATTTCAGCTCAGTAATGCCTAGGATATCAATGTTTATGCGTTCCATTTAATTTTTGACAACTTTCAATTCTCCTAGATTCATACTGCTTACATTCCATTTTCCAAATATTAATGAATGTTTGCAGTTGTTTCTCCTCATGTCCCCTCAGCAAATGAAGTTCCCAAAAGCCTTACTCCATTCACATCATCAAGATCAACTATACTTTGAGGAAGCAGCTCTTCTCTAGTTGTATTTTGAATACCTTGCAACCTGAGGGGCTCATCTTCCTATACCTGAAAATATTCTGGTGTTCTTCATCATGTTTCAATATTCAATATTCTGGTGTTCTTACAGTGTTTCATTGTTATTCATAAGGTTTTCAGTGGTGAACCATTCAAAAATTTGCCTCTCCTACTTCCAAGTCTGTCTTAGACTGGAAGCTCAGCTGAAACCTGTCCACCATGGGCGACACTGTTAGCATTCAAAACACTGGTGGCATAGCTTCCAGCATCACAGCAACACACAAGCCACCACAATAAGAAAAACTGACAGGCGAGTGGAGAAAATGTGTATATGGGTAAGTAAAAAAATACTGCAACAAAATCACAGAAGCCCTTATTAAACAAAGCATCCAAATATGTCAATCTATTGCTTCTCAATATATTCTCCATCTACATCTATACACTCTTTTTTTTTTTTTTTTAGTTTGTATTGTGAGTTGAGAGAAAGTTTACAGGGCAGATCATCAGTTCTACATTCAACAAATTGAACACCTTGTTTCATTTCAATGATTATAATCCCCTCCATGTACCATCAGTCAACAGTATTTCTCTCTATTCACTTTAGCTCTTTTTTTTTTTTTTAAATACTCAGGCATATACAATAATTTACACCACCAAAGGGAACATTCTGCAAGCCTGCCTACTGGCCACCAGCTCTCAGTTCCTCTCTTTCCATGAATCTGAAGTCCTCAGCTTCTCCCTCTCTCTATGTCCCCATCTCTGCCTCCATCTTTGGTGTTGCTGCTTCTCTGGATAAGGCCCCACATTCCACTTGTGCTTTTCTCCCTTGATGGTCCTAGGGTCCACTGTTTCTGGACTGTAAGATTAACTATTTCCACAGTTTTGTTACAAAAATTCTACCTTAACCTTTACAATTGTGACAGTCACAATTAGTCATGATAACAATTACTCAGTCTACTCTTGAAGTCAGTGTTTCCATCTTACTAACACTTCCTCGAAGTATTCTGCCCTTTTATGATTTGTTGTTGTGTTTGTTAAATGACGTTAAGTAGGTTCCAATCCATAGCAATCTTGTATAGGGCTTCAGAGGTGTGACTGGTGGGTTTGAACCACCAACCTCGTAGTTCAAACTTAAGGCCAAGCATATTATCCAGCAGCACCATACCAGGACTCCATGTTAAAATAGCAATTCAGGAATCATCAAGGGACTCAAACTGTGCTGCCTTTCTTTGTTTTTTTTTTGAGTTTGGGGAACAAAAAGAAGCCTGAAGGGGAAAGATTCAAGGGCTGTAGAGTGGATAGGGTAAGATTTCCCAATGAAATTCTCATAGGACCACCTTTACTATTCTGGAAGAAGGAGCAGGTGAATTGTCATGGTGGAAAGGATTCCTTAGTTTAACTTTCTTGCCTTTTTCACATCCACGCAGCTTTTCATTTTCTTAAAATGTCTTCATAATGATCCCCCATGACCATCCTGTGTCCTTTGAGAAAATCTATCAAGACTTCCCATTTGAAATTCTCCAAAATAGTCAGTATAACCTTCTGGGTTGATCTCTGCCTTGACTTTTATTGGCACATCATATCCCAAATCTGTTGTCCTCAATTAGGATAGGTAATGCTTATTTATAAAATTATAAATCAAAAGATTTTTCTTTTCAAAGTTAGAATGCTAGGAACTCTTCATACATATTTTTGAAAATTCTTCTTTCTGACAGTATATTATAATAAATATTTCTTACCTGGATCATATGAATAAAGTTCCATTTTTGAAGCTCTTTTTCCTCCATCATTCTATTTTGATATTCAGATGATGTCTCCTTATACCAAGCAAAGTTTATGTTCTCAAGGTTTGATGTCTTGGCTACAAGTTCTGAAACACAGAGGAGAGGTGGCACACCATCAATTTTAATTGCAAACGTGGAGCCCATTTTCATTTCGAATTTTAATGCAATCAGTTATGTACATAACAGTCATAAAGCATATTTTTCTTTCTTATGTAGCTCTGGGAAACCAGAAATTTCATCCTAATTTTTTTTCTCAGATTAAATGAAATTAGAGATTAAAGAGCCAATCAAACATAACAATAAGAGCACTAGTCAGACATAGGTTACATGGGCTCCCTCTAAATGGGAAACAGATGATCATCTTTATTGGAGGCAAATTGATGTCTAACAGGTAATGTGATTGTGTAACCCAAAGCCTAAGGATCCACCTGTTTTTACATGGATGACAAGTTAAAAACATTTTTCCCATTTTTAAATGGTTATAAAACCAAAAGAATAATATTTTAAGACATGTAAAAATTATGATATTTAAATTATAGTTTCCATTAAAAAGTTTTACTAGAAAACAGCCTCATTCATTAGTTTCCATATTATCAAAGGCTGTTTTTGTGCTACAAATGCAGGATTGAGTAGTGGTGACAGAGATCATGAGACCTGAAATATTTACTATTTAACCCTTTCCAGAAAAAATGTTTACTAGCTCCTGGTGTAAACCATTACACATAAGCTCTTTAAGGGCAAGGTCTCTCTTTTAATATTTCTGAATAAAGCAATGACTCTAGCCCTAAGAATAATTTTTAAAAAGATAAAAAAGACTGGGGAATAGAGGGGGAGTCAATAAGAAAAAGAGTCTAATTAGTCACTATTCATATTTGAGGTGTTTAGTCCTGCCTGCCAAGAAAACAAATTAATTAGTTTCTTCTTCCAATGAGCTTACAAAGTGCATGCCACAGTAAACTATGCTCTTAATGACTCAAGGGACATATTTGAAATGAGAAGCCTTTTGGGATAGGTTAGTACATAAATACCTTTGTACTTGGCAATTTGTTCAGCACTTGGTTCAACAACTTCATTGCTGATATGAATTCCTGGATATTGAGCCTGAACTTTGGAGAGAATTTGAAGGTCAATTTCACCTAGGAAACAAACATATGACATAGGTCAAGACATTGAAGGAAGAAGTGATTAAGAACAATTTGAGCTGGTTTATTATCTAATTTTTACAATGACTGCTAGAATAAAAAAAATAATAATAATAGTAATGCTCAACTTTTGCCTGCTACAATACCTGCAGCACAAACAGCTAGCCTTTAAGTAAGAACAATGTGCTTACCTGTCTTTTATTGACTATGCAAAGGCATTTGACTGTATGGATCATAACAAATTATGGAGACCATTGCAAAATATGAAAATTCTAGAACACTTAATTATGCATAATTGCATAAAATCAAGAGGCAGTCCTTCAAACAAAACAAGAGAATACTACTACATGGACAAATCTGCTGCAAAAGACCTCTTTAAAATGTTAAAAAGCAAGTATTTCACTTTCAGAACTAAGGCATGCCTAAACCAAGCATTTTCAATTACCTCCTATACATTTGAAAACTGAATAACAATCAAGGAAGACTAAAGAAGGTTTGATGCCTTGATTGATGAAGTTGGTGAAAAATACTGACTATGTCATGGACTGCAGGCAGAACAAACAAATCTGTCTTGTGCATCCAGAATGCTCCCTACAAGTGAAAATGATGATATTTTGTCTCATGTACTTTGGTTACGTTATCAGAAGGGACCAGTCCCTGAAGAAAGATATCATGCATGGTAGAGGGTCAGCAAAAATTAGGAAGACCTCCATCAAGATGGATTGACATGGTGAACTCAAAATATAGCAATGATTTTGAGCATGGCAGTGTTTCATACTGTTGTACTTAGGGTTACTAAGAATAGGAATTGACTCAATGGCACCTAACAACAACAACAAAAAAATGTGATTTGAGGAAAGCTATGAATGCCACTCATGCATGTCTTTATTTTATTCATTCATATAATCTTTATTTAAAATCTATTAATATATTTCATTAAATTTAAGATACCAATGGTTGTAAGAAATAATCAAACTTTATTTTTGCTTCATTTTTTGAGTAAAAAAATAAAACCACTGTCAATTATTGTTTCCAAATTTCACTAATTGGAAGATGTATTCTCATATCAGAGATATTAAAATCTGGAAAAAAATGTATTGACACCTAAGAATCAGCATCTCCTCAGAAACCCTATACAGGGTCGATATGAGTTGGAATTAACTCCATGGAACTTAACAACAACTGAAATATTAGGTCAGAAGAATCAAAAAAAATTATGATAGAGAAAATATACAAAACATATCAGGTACAAAAAAGGATATAAAGATATCTAAGACATCTGGAGCAATTAGAAGAGACAGAAAGACAATGGCATGAAATCTGGATAATTAAAACTTCTTGGAATATATTGCCCAACAGGGTCTCCAGGCAAGTGTTGAACCCAGAGAAGTAAATAGAGATGAAGATTCAGGCAGAGTCGGTGTTAGTTCATTCATTCATCTATTAATTTACTTGTTACCATGTGCCAGGCACTGCATTATTTTTGCTAGTTTTTTAAGTGCTATCAACTCTGTTCTGACTCATAGTGACCTCAAGTAGGGTTTCCAAGGCTGTAAACCTTCTGGGGAGCAGAAATCCTCATCTTTCTCCCACAGAATAACTGGTGGGCTCAAACTGTTGATCTGTGGTTCAGAGTCCAGTGCTTATCCTCTAGAACCACTGTGCTACCAGGCACTGCATTATACTATTGTTGTTAGGTGTCATTGACTCGGTACCGACTCACAGTGACCCTATACACAACAGAACGAAACACTGGCAAGTCCTCAGCTAACCTTACAATTGTTGCCCATTGATGCTACCACTTTGCCAGTCCATCTCACTGGGGTCTTCCTCTTTTTCTCTGACTCTCCACCTTACCAAACATGATATCACTCTCCAGTGACTGGTCTCTCCTGACAATATATCTGAAGTATGAGAGACAAAGACTGGCCTCCTGACCTCTAAGGAGCACTCTGGCTGCACTTCATTCAACACAAATCTGTTTGTTCTTTTGGCAGCCCATGGCACTTTCAATATTCTCCTCCTACACCATAACTCAAAAGCACAAATTCTTCTGTGGTCTTCCTTATTTCCAGCTTTCACATGCATATGAAGTTACTGAAAATACCATGGCTTGGATCAGATGTACCTTGTCCTCAAGCTGACATCTTTGCTCTTTAACACATTAAAAAGGTCTTATGCAGCACAGGCTGTAACAAATGATGAAAAAAACCCAAAAAAACTGGCAAATGCCTGCCCTCATGAAAATTTAGCCTATAAGTGATAGCATGCATGAGATGGTGATAAGTTTGATGAATTTGAATTCCAAACCCATATTACTTCTTACTAGATATATGTGACCTTAGGCAAGTGGCTTTTCGTCTTCAAACTTCATTTTCCTCATCAGAAAAAGGTAGATAATAACAGCACTTAATTTATTGGTTGTCAGGGTGAAATGAGGCAATGCAGATAAAATGCAGAGCTGAAATTAAGTTGTTGTTAAGCACCATCAAGTGGTTTCTGACTCACAGAAACCTATGTAGGGTTTCCAAGGAGAGAGCTCATGGGTTTGAACTGCTAACCTTTCAGTTAGCAGTCTAGTACTTATCCAACAGTGCCACATCAGGACTCCAAAATTAATTTAGGACATAATAAATGTTAGCTATAAATTATGTTTTATTGTTATCATTGACTCTCTGTTCTTCCTACTGCTGATACTTCAGACTGAAGTTTTGTAGTTTTATTCTCTTAGGTTGTGACATTTACCTTCATTAAAATGGAAATACCTCTTGGCAAGACTAGCATTGAAAATGATGTTAATCTTTAACATTTGGCATACATGTCAGTCACAGAATCTGTCCAAGTTTAGATACGACAGGTAGCAAAAGCATAGATGACAAGAGTGAGAGGTTTAGAAAGGAGATGAGAAAACAAACAGAAGATGCTAGACCAGGAAAAAAGGGACATCAAATGACAAAATGAGAGCCTCCCCCAGTAACAGGGGGTGGTTTGTGTGGTGTGTAAAAGAGGGGTGGGGAAGAAACGGAGGATGAAGGAACCTACGTGACAATTTTGTCCAAAGCTAGCCCCATTGATATGAAACATTTTACCTTTTCCCCAATACCTCTAGCTGCCATTTACTGGACAATAATTGGACTAGGCACTTTACCTAGAACAGCTCACTTAATCCTGCCCACAAGGCTACCACAAACTCTGTGATATGATTCTCAACCAGAAAAGACAATTTGAGTAATTTAAGACACAGGTTTATTAATATGCCACTAGTCGGGTACCTATGTTGACTTCAAATGTTTGTTCATTGGACATCTTCATACTAAAAAACAAGAAAATAACCAAAAAGTAAAGGGACATTGAAAAACCCCACCAACTTCCCCTGCCCCAGACAGCCACTTTTTTGAAGAGAAAAAAGAAGCAATCAAAGAAAACGGCTTATGAGAAAATCTGTAGGATAATAAGAAATAGAGATTCCAACTTGCCCCCAAAGGACTAAAAGCCTAAAGATCTATTCTTACCTCTTTCAGTCTAACCATATATTTTAAGTCAAGAATCCTCAATTATGGGAATTCTAAATCCAACATTTTAAAACTCAAAGAGTGGAAATGCAATTATTTTCCCCCTGGCGCCTGATGAGCACTTCTTCTCTTAAGATGGACCTGGACATTTCAGATCTGTACAAATGGTACAAAGTATCTATTAGATCCTCAGGGGCCTGTTTCTATCTCATCTCTTTCCCTGCTACCAGAATGATCTATCATAATCAGAGGCAGGTAGCCTTTCCCGATAAACATTGACAGAAGGCAGGAAAGTGGAATTGAAATACAGAAACTACAGGTTCACATAACAACCTCTTGAGTGCTAGAGTGTGAGTCCGGATATGGACCAGAATCATCCATGCATTCACTGTTGCTTCTCTAGAAAAATTTATGATCCAGAGGAGATAATGAAACTATTTCCTCAGGAGTTAGAACCTAAATCCCATTCTGGACATCATAAATATGATAACCTTACATATCATAACATATCAGGACTCCGCTAGTAGAGATAAATAAATGTAAATAAATAAATCTGTGTTGAATGAAGGACAGCCAAAATGCTCCTTTGAAGCCAGGATGGTGATACTTCTCCTCTCATAGTTCAGGAGGGCCAGTCCCTCTAGAAGGATATCATGGTTGGTAAAGTGGAGGGTCAGTGAAGAGGAAGATCCCCCCAATGTGTCAGACTGCAAAGCCATTTTAATTGCAAAGTTGGTGGTTCAAGCTCACCAGCTGCTCCTAGGAAACCCTTACAGGGTTGCTATGGGTTGTTACCGACTCAATGGCACTTTATAACAACAACAATGTCTACTAGTACCAATTCATGGTACTTTCAGTTTTCCTCACCAACACTATAATTCAAATGCATCAATTCTTCTAAGGTCTTCATTATTCATTTTCCAAATTTCACATGCATACGAGGTCATTGAAATACCATGGCATGGATCAGGAGCACCTTAGTCCTCAAACTGGTAACTTTGCTCTTTAACACTTTAAAGAGGTCTTTTACAGCAGATCTGTCAAATGCAATACATCGTTTGATTTCTAGACTGCTGCTTCCATGAATATTGATTGTGGATCCAAACAAAATGAAGTCTTCAAAAACTTCAATCTTTTTTCCATACATCATGATGTTATTTATTGATCCAGTTGTGAGAATTTTTCATTTTCTTAACATTAAGGTACAAATCATACTGAAGGTTGTAGTCTTTGATCTTCATCAGTTAAGTATTTTAAGTCCTCTTCACTTCCAGCAAGAATATCAAAGGTTGTTAGTAAATTTTTCTCCAATCCTGATGTCATGTTCTTTTTCATATAATACACCTTCTCGGATTGTTTGCTTAGTATACAGGTTAAATAAGTATGGCCATCGGTAAAGATATTCCTCATTCCACATCCTCTTCTGAATCTGGCTTAAATTTCTGATAGCTCCATGTTGATGTACTGCAATAACTCTTTTTA